TATACTCGACGCGACCCTGGGTTGCACTTAGCTCTGGCTATCCGCGGCGCGTGCTAGAAGCCGCTGAGGCGAATATTGTAGCTCGCTGCAATGACTAATGAATCATGCTCTATGCTAAATGCTAATGGCTGGTGGGTGTGTTGTGTGTGTGTGTGTGTGTGTGGTGTGTCGTGTGTGTGTGTGTGTGTGTGTCGCGCGCGCCGGCCGCGTGTGTGTGTGTGGTTTTCTCCTTTCTTCCGTCTCTCTCTCTCACACACTACAAACACATGCACAGAGAGGAGAGCAAATGATGATGAGAGATCGAGAGAGAGCAGAGAGAGAGAGAGAGCAGAGATAGAGAGAGAGAGAGAGCAGAGGGTAGACGATAGGAAATGAAGAAAGAGATTCGTGCTTAACAGCTTCCATTCCCGCATTCGCCGCAACAGGGCTGTGCTGGCCTGCCTGCGGTCGCCAATCCTTGTCTGACGCAGGCTACCTCTGGCTAAACGACGACCAGGTCACCAGTACTGGCCGGAGTTTGAGAACACGCAAGACGACGTCACCGTCAAACAGCTGCTCGTCTCACCAGAGCTGGCGATGCACGCGCGCAGTGCACAGCGAATGCACATACATGCAATACACACCTCGCGCACTCGCACGCTACGCACACACGCCACGCCGTACCCGCATCGTGTGCCACACGTACACACACGCACAAATGTTGCAGGCACGGCGCCAAAAAACACACAGCGCAGCGCATGCACACGCATCTGGTGAACGCACAGCATGCATGCATGCACACATTGCGTGCATACGCGACGCAACGCGCGTACACATCCCCCCGTACGTACGCATGCACACGCATACACAGCACGTACACCGTTAGTTCTAGCAGTCTATATAAACTCTTCGGTCCGCCACCGGGTGTTACTGTATCTGATGTTGGCCGACTTGCACTCATAAGGGCATGCCGAGCAAAATAAGGGTGATTCTGTAAACAGCGAGGCAGTATACGGCTGTAATTGAGCTTATATCACCGATATATATAGTACTCTATATACGGCGAGTACGCATTGGAAACAAAATGTGCACGGTCGTTGAATGATGCTATTCAGGATTATCTGCCAGCGGACATATTTGGCCAATCGTAGGTCGCGCCAATTATACCTGTTCTTATAGACGACGATGCCTCAACATACCGGAAGCACCTTCATCTTGGAATCAGTAGGGCAGGCGATATTGTGAATTAACGCTTGCTCTGTTAACATGCAGCAGAACCAAAAATAGAACACCCAACATACTATAAGCTAATATATCTTAATAAATGATTGTATAGATTTTAGGCACGTGAGCATTGAGGAAAACGTATGACCAGTCCGCTGGCGCTACGTTATTTTTTAACCGCGAGTTTATATATATGGTTCATTAGCCTTCTGATTTGATTACGCCTGTTATTACTAAATCATATCGACCCGTGGAAATCTCGCTTATTTGTCTGCTTAGCCATGCCCACGAGGACACAGAATAACCTATACTCACGCGCACGCATGCACGCACACGCACGCACACACACACACACACACACACACACAACACACAACACACACACACACACACACACACACACACACACACAACACACACACACGCACACAGCACGACATACAGGCTCACACCCACACGCATAGGCACACGCATACACGCACTCGCGCGCACAAGCGCGCGCGCGAACACACCCGCGCACACACACACACACACACACACACACACACACACACACACACACACACATGCACAACTCATATCCGTCTTTTATCAAAGCCTCAAATCGTGATCCGTGCATGTAGGTTTGTGTGACTCGTGAACTATAAACCACGACCCACTTATTCGTGAAGTCCCACCCGTAATCCGTATAAGCTTGCGTGAACCGTGATAAGTGAATCACGACCCGCGATGGGCGCCACTCTTCATCTTCCTCCTCCTCCTCTCGTACGCAGGCGGGCCTCGCGCAGGTCGTATGCTTGCGTGGCCCGTGATGTGATCCGTTAATCACGACCCGTTATCTGTGAAGCCTTAACTTCGATTCATGAATCACTACCCGTGACCTCCTCCCCACTTTGCCTCACCCTCCTCCTCTCACACGCAGGCGGGCCTCACGCAGGTCGTAAGCTTGCTTAATCCGTGATCTCCCCACTCTACCCCCTCCCTCTGCTCTCGCACGCAGGCGGGACCCGTTATCCGTGAAGCCTGACCTCTCGCCTGAAGGCTCTAACTTCCTCCGCTTCTTCTCGCACGCAGGCGGGCCTCACGCAGGTCATAGGCTTGCGTGATCCGTGAATCACATCATCCTCATCCTCATCTTCATCCTCATCCTCAGCCTCTTCTTCTCGCACGCAGGCGGGCCTCGCGCAGGTCGTAGGCTTGCGTGATCCGTGAATCACGACCCGTGACCTCAACCCTGCTCTAATCTCTCATCCTCTTTCTCATCCTCATCCTCATCCTCATCCTCATCCTCATCCTCATCCTCATCCTCATCCTCTTTCTCATCCTCATCCTCAGCCTCTTCCTCTCGCACGCAGGCGGGCCTCGCGCAGGTCGACCAGCCGCTGACGCTTGAGATCATGAAGGACCGCGACGCGATCAGCTCGGTGCTGGAGGACCAGTCTCCGCTGTGGCTCCCCGGCACGGCGCACGGCTACCACATCCTCACACACGGAATGCTCATCGACCAGCTGCTCCGACGCGTCGACCCGAAGAAACGCACCGTCGGCCAGTTCTTCAAGGACGAAGTCGCCGAGAAGTTCGGTAGGGCAGCGGGGGTGGGGTGGGGGTGTGAAGGAGATGTCATGGGGATTTCGCTAAGGTAGCAGCAGCGGCGGCGGTGGCGGTGGGGGGCGGTGTTGCTATTTGTAGTACTGTGTTATACTGTGTCAGTGACGGTGGGGTGGTGTAGTTGTTTGTAGTATTGTGTTATACTGTGGCAGTGACGGTGGGGTAATGTAGTTGTTTGTAGTACTGTGTTATACTGTGGCAGTAACGGTGGAGTGGTGTAGTTGTTGCTATTGTAGCGCTGTGTTGTTCTGTGGCGGTGGAAGTATGGGGGTGTTGTCAGTAGCATCATCAATATATGCACTATTGTATAACCACAATTGCACGTATATATACACACACACACACACACACACACACACACACACACACACACACACAACAATAATATATATATATATATATATATATATA